TAAGAGATATGCAAAATCAAATTGATCTTCTTAACACTGAACTATCCTTAAAAAATAACATTATTGACACTACTTAGGAAAATCAAAGAGTTACTAGTTTATCAAATTCCTCACTATCTGCTGAAATTGATAAAGTTAAAGACCTCTTGAACAAAGAACAAACTGTTTTAAAACTTTGGGCTAAATCTCACAAAAAATGCTAATTATGTTATTTCTGCTCAAATACCTCATTCATGTGAGAAAATCCTTGGGGGAAATTTTGCTGAAGCTGAAAAGGTTTTTAAATCTCAAGAAAAGGAATCTGAATTTTATTCCATAAATGAATTAAAAGATAGTTTCAAAAACACATTTATCAGCAACACCTTTATTAATCAGAGTCTCATTGATGAACACTGTGTTCCTGAGTGTAATATTGAAATTACCGGAATTGATCCTACTTCTTATCCTGCACATCTTGTGAGATCAACTCCTCTCATTGAAAATATTATCGCATTTCCTATCTCAAACGGAGTGTGTCATACTGTTCATGAACAACTTAAACAATATCCTGATTGCAGTGTTTCAGTACATAAGTCTAAATCTGATACTGATGTCAGCTCCTCATCCATCACTGATTGTAGTTCTTCTAGCACTGAATTCTTTAGTAATTCAATGTTAAATAAAAGGACTCAAAGTTCACTTGGTGAATCTTTCAAATATAAATGTGTTAAATCTAGAAATGTGTTTACCAAGAAAAACTTTGGTACTAGAATTTGCTACAGGTGTGGTGATTCGACTCACAAAATCAGTGAATGCAAGTTTGATAAAACATCATTAAGAGCTGATAACATCAAAGTTAGAAATGAAAAATGGACTCTTAAATCAAATTCTTTAAACTGTCTTCCTAAAGAGTGCTATAATATATTATCAAATAACTTTGTGAATGACCCATCCTCCAATGGGTCAGTGTGTTCTAACTAATTTCTCAGCACTGTAGGGTCAGGAGCATCTTTGGTACTTAGATAGTGGTTGCTCAAGACATATGATAGGATCCAAGTCTCTCCTGGAAGACTATGTCAAGAAAACAGGTCCTGCAGTAACATACGGAGACAATGGAAAGTGGTTCACTAAAGGATATGGAAATATCAAGTGCAATAATGTGGTGTTTCAGAATGTTTCATATGTAAAGGGTCTCAAACACAATCTCATCTCAATCAGCCAATTGTGTGATGCTGATTATGAAGTTCACTTTACAAAGAAGGAAGGAAGAGTTGTTAACACTAACAAGAACATTGTACTCTCAGCAAGTAGAAAAGATGATATATATGTTCTTGACATGTTCTCAAGTGACAAGGCCCTGATGCAATGTTTCTTTTTAAAGTCTCAAACCAACCTCAGCTGGATTTGGCACAAAAGGTTCTCTCATTTGAACTTTAAGAATCTATCCAAAATATACACGTCTCCCAAAACTCAGCTTTGTCAAAGACAAGATGTGCTCAGCGTGTGAACAAGGAAAAAAAACCAAGCTGTCATTCAAACCCAAGTCATGTTCTAGCATATCTGTTCTTCTTCATTTACTACACATGGACTTGTTTGGACCTATTCTTGTTCGTTCCCAAGGAGGAAATAAATATACTCTAGTGGTTGTGGATGAGTTTACTCGATTCACATGGGTGGTTTTCTTGAAGAAGAAAAGTCATGCTGCACATATCTTGCTGATTCGCAAAAATGAGACACTGACTGGTCTCAAAGTTAAGCAGCTAAGGAGTGATCATGGCACTGAGTTCTGGAATTCAAGTCTTGAAGAATTTTGTGATTATAAAGGCATTGGGCAGAACTTTTCAGCTCTTCGCACACCTCAACAAAATGGAGTTGCTGAACGAAGAAATCGAACACTAATTGAGGCAGGAAGGACCTTAATGATTCATGCTGGTCTTCCTATGTCGTTTTGGGCTGAAGCTGTTAATACAACATGTTATACTCAGAATCGATCTCTAATTCACAGGATTCACAAGCTGACACCATATGAGATGCTGAAAGGTCATAAGTCGGATGTATCCTTCTTTCACGTGTTTGGATGCATTTGTTATATTCTTAATCAGTGCGATCCAAGATCAAAATTTGAGCCTAAGGCTAACAAAGGTATTTTTGTTGGATACTCATCTATTTCAAAAGCTTTTCGTATTTTTCATGTGAACAGGCAGTGCATTGAAGAATCCATTCATCTGAAGATTGATGAGGAATCATACACTGATGAAAAAGTAGCTCATTCTTCCTCTATTTTTGAAGAGCTTCTCTCTTGCTCATATGATGAAGTTTCTCACACTAAAGAAGAAGCTACTATTCCTGATCCTATCGTTCTAGATCCAAATTCCTTGAATCAGGATACTGCGGTCGGCTCGACAACTCATTTGTCTGATGCTGATGAAACTCTTGAGAATGAAGACTCTCCTGCAACTGATGTTCCCTTCAGCAATAACGATTCAGCGTCAAATCCAGTGGAATCAGCTTCTGGACATCGAGATCACCCTGTTGATCAAATTATTAGGAATCTTCATGATGGTGTCCGAACCAGATCTCGTGTATCTAATAATTTTTTGCATGTACATTAATTTTGTTTTAATGATTTTACCTGACAAGATACACTCAGCTCTTCAAGATGCTGACTGGATTAAGGTCATGCAAGATGAGCTCAACGAGTTCGAACGACACAAGGTTTGGATGCTTGTTCCCAGACCATCAGGAAAGACCATCACCGGAACACGCTGGGTCTACCGCAACAAGGTTGATAAAGATGGTATTATTACTCGCAACAAAGCAAGACTTGTTGCTCAGGGGTTCACTCAAATTGAATCCATCGACTACGGGGAGACTTTTACTCCAGTTGCCCGCATTGAAGCAATCAGACTGTTTCTCGCATACGCTTCATACATGAACTTCATTGTCTACCAAATGGATGTCAAAACGGCATTTCTTCATGGTGAGTTACAAGAAGAAGTATTTCTCAAACAGCCCCCAGGCTTTGAAGACAAAGAGCACCCTGACTATGTGTACTGACTAGATAAAGCTGTATATGGATTGAAGCAAGCTCCCAGGGCCTGAAAGGCTCAAAAATGATTCTTGTTCAAATCTATGTCGATGACATCATCTTTGGATCTCCAAATGAGAAGTCGAGCAAAGAATTCGCTGAGATCATGTCTCAAAGGTTCGAAATGAGCATGATGGGGAAGATGACTTTCTTCTTAGGTCTTGAGGTTCAGCAAAAAAATCAGGTATTTCAATTTGTCAAAGTAAATACATTGCTGACATGCTAGTTAAGTATTCTCTCAGCGACTGCAAACCAGCTTCTACTCCGGTGTCCAAGACTGATAAGCTACACGCTGATCCCACAAGCACTGATGTTAATCACTCTCTTTATCGAGGAATGATTGGATCTCTTCTCTACCTCACTGCAAGTCTCCCTGATATCATGTTTGGAACCATTCTCTGTGCTAGATTCCAAGCTAATCCCAAGGAGTCTCATCTCATTGCAGTCAAACGCATCTTTCGATACTTAAAGGCCACTCAGAACTTGGCATTGTGGTACCCTTGTGACTCAGCGCTTGAACTCTTTGGATACACTAATTCCGACTATGCAGGTTGCAACTTAGACAAGAAGAGCACGTCAGGTGGATGTCATTTCCTTGGAAATCAACTAATCAGCTGGTCCAGCAAGAAACAAACCCCAGTAGCTATCTTCACTGCAGAAGCTGAATATGTTGCCGCTGGAAGATGTTGTGCTCAAATCTTATGGATTCAAAATCAACTTTTAGACTATGGGCTTAAATTCACAAAGACTCCTATATTCTGTGATAACACCAGTGCCATTCAAATCACACAGAATCCGGTTCAGCACTCAAAGACAAAGCATATAGAGATCACACATCACTTCATCAGAGACAATGTTGAGAAGGGCAAGGTTGTTTTAACACATGTCAAGACTTCCGATCAACTAGCTGACATTTTCACCAAGGCTTTGGATACTCAGACTAATTCTCACATCATTGGCGAACTTGGAATGATCACTCTCGATTGAAAAATTGTTTTACTAATGTTTGTTATTGTCTTATATACTAATGTTTTTTTTTGTACTGATGATGATGCGCTGATGATGTTTAGCATGTTGAGTACATTGTACGATATCTTCTCTCTCTCTCTCTCTCTCTCTCTCTCTTCTACAAATCTTCTAAACTAAAGTTGAATGATTCATTGTATTAAACCATACACTGATAACAACTTGAAACTCTTTGCCGATGATTAGACAAAACACCAAGTTCTATCACACGCAACTATCCACTCTTACCAATCTTACACTGATTCTGTGATTCGGTGTGACAAAACACATACTAATGAGAATCTAAAAATCTTTGCCGATGGTTAGACAAAACACCAAGTTCTATCACTCGAAACTATCCCCTCTTACCAATCTTACACTGATTCAGTGATTCAACATGACAAGACACATGCTGATGAGAATCTAACAGTCTTTGCCGATGGTTAGACCAAAACACCAAGGTCTATCACAAGCAACAATCCTCTCCACCTTCTTCTCACTCAGTATCTAATGATTCAGTAAGAAATACCACTCACTGATAAAGACTCGACACTCTGTGCCGATGGTTAGATAATTAAACTAGTATCTATCACACGCACCAATCACCTTGCTAACCCTAAACAAGCAAGTTGTACCTTGAATTGATGACAAACTATCTTTCAGCATGTAACTTTCCGTGATAACAATCTCAGCACTTCCGCAGTCACTGATTATCGTTTCCTCTTCGGTACAACGGCTCTATTTACCCAACGGCTATTTTTCGATTTGACAGTCTGTCAAGATACGCAATTATTTTCGATAAAGATAATCATTTATTTTTACCGTTTCATTCCCTATTTAAACCTTTTCACCTCTTCCCTAAACCTTTTTACCTTCCTCCAATCTTCTCTCTCTCTTAAAAAAAACCCTAGAATCCTAAACTTCTTCAATGGCGGCATCACTGTTCACCTTCTCCTCCACTTCAAGAAGAGTCGTCCCAGCTCGAAACTCTCCTCCTCTTCCCATATACATCAAAGCCACAAACGTAGTTTTCAACCCTGATATTCCAGATGTTCATCGAGGTGTTGGACTTGATGATTTTGTTAATTTCTTACTCACCTGCTGACTCCGATATGCAATTAGTGGCGTTCCATCAGAGTTCTTTCCCAAACAAGTATGTGAGTTCTACTACACTGCAACAATTAATGATGAAAACAACGTCATCTCCGGGACTATTGGCCGTGGCAAACACTCAGTTTTTATTACCGCTGACCTCCTCAGTGTTGTGCTCAGGTTACCAATCTTTGAACCATTCTCTGAGCTTCCACCTATTGAACGTTGTCGACGCCTCTTTGATCAACTGGGATATGATCACTCAAAGGCTGGTACTCGATCAACTCTCATTCTGTATCAATGTGTGACTCCACAATGGAAGTTCTTCACCGGTGCTCTATGTAAATGTGTGGGTCACAAATCTCACAGTGGTGATCAACGGAGCACTTATAAGCAACAAGTCGTTTGTTCCCTTCTTCTCAACAAATGACTTGATTATGGGGCTTTCTTCTTTGATTAGCTTGTCTAAATTCTTCGTGCAAATATATGCGCTGATCATGTCCCCTTTCCACGCTGGATTGCTCTTATGCGAGATAAATTTTTCGCTGAAGCTTACTACTCCCACTCTGGAAACCCTGTAACAGCCCGAAATCTCAAAGTATTGTTAAATCACATTTTGGGGTGTTTTAAAGGGGGGACTCGGCGAGTTGGAGCCTGAAATCGCCGAGTAGGATCGCAGATTTGGTCGCGGGTTCGCGACTGGACTCGACGAGTCCAGATAGGGACTCGGCGAGTCTGCGCTGTTTAGCGTAAACCCTAGCCGTTCAGGTTTGGGGACGTATAAATGGGATCATTGGCCGTCGTTGTTCCCTTTTAGCTGCTGAGAAGAACCCTAAATCGGTTGGGGGCATCTAGAGCAAGGATTGAAGGCTATTGGTGATTTCGAAGAAGTTATTATTCAAGAAGGGGAAGGTTTTGGCTAAAGGAATAACAAGGGAATCATGTTCTGAGGCTTGGGGACACAGAGAGGGCATTATTCAGGTAACATTCCGGATTATATTCTGTTATGTGAATGTGTGCATGGATTAGGGTTTAAGGAACCCTTTTGTGATTAGATTAATGGTTACCCTTGTCCCCCAAACGATTGTAACCCTGTGTTGGGACCCTTGGAGGTCCAGAAGATCCCAGGTCTGTGCATTTCGGGAATTGGTGAAGGTTTTGGATTGAAATCCTTATGCCTTAGGTTAACATGGGAATTATGAGTCTTGGGGTGTAGCATGAGCACCTAAATGAAGGCCTTTTGTGATGGACCAGCTTAGGAGGACCAGACCTATGATTGGTCGGGACGATTCTGATCTTAGGAAGCAGTTTGATCGACTGCATGGCATGGACTCGCCGAGTCGGATGAGCAGACTCGGCGAGTAGCTTGAAGAATAGCTGGGACTCGTCGAGTTGTTCTTCAGACTCGGCGAGTGGAGTCGGGGTGGCCCCGCGATTCTTCCACGAGGAACTCGTCGAGTCAAGAGAGATACTCGACGAGTAGAAAGGGAACATCCAGGAATTTGTGAGGACGACTAGACTCGCCGAGTCGCCAGGGTACTCGCCGAGTCCAGTCGAGATGACCGTTGACCAGAGTTGACCTGTGTGTGATTTCTTAGGGTCAGTTAACGTGGAAGATAAAAGTATTAATAAGAGATATATTGTTATAGGGAGCTTGTAGCTCGGCGGATCAGGTGCAAGTGATTTCAGGGTTGCTAACTTCCAGCATCCACGAGGTGAGTCTTCTCACTATACTGTACCCGGAAGGGTTTGATTGTGTGACCGGAAGGTCGAATATGTTATGTGTTATGTATATATGCTATAAATGGAAAGTTAGTTGCTACGCGTGATATGCATGTTTATATGGGCCGGAAGGCAAAGTGTTATGTGACAGAAAGGTCAGGTATGATATATGATATATGTGCTTTATGTGTTAGAGTAAATGTATTATGTGCCGTATATGTTTTTGGGCCGGAAGGCAATATGTTATGGGCCGGAAGGTAATATGTTATGGGCCGGAAGGCAATATGTTATGGGCCGGAAGGCAATGTACTATGGGCCGGAAGGCAACACGTTATGGGCCGGAAGGCGATTATCTCATGGGCCGGAAGGCATTGTGCAGTGGACCGGAAGGTCAGGGCCTGGAAAGGCGTATGTGCGTAAGGTGTATATTGGGGAACTCACTAAGCTTCGTGCTTACAGTGTTTTATGTATGTTGTTTCAGGTTCTTTCAGTAACGCGGGATGGCACCGGCTCGATTGTACACACCAAAGAAAGAGTTGTATTCTGGAGGATCCTGGTTTTCTACTAAGTGAAAATGGAACTATGTTTTTGTAATTCAAATGTGTATGAGATTTTAAACAAGTGATTTAATATTAATTTGATTAATTAAATGAAAATTTTGCCTTGAAAATCACGGTGTTACAAATTGGTATCAGAGCCTTGGTTTGAGGGATTCGGATGCGCCTTCGGGTAAATCTGGACTCAAACTGAGGAAATAAGAAAAAGTTTTCAAATAAATAGTTTTCTAAAAGTGGATAAGAGTTCAAAGAGAAACCAAGAAAGAGCAGTGTGTACAATCAGCCAGAGCCAAACGGTGATTTCCCAAAATACCCTTACTTTTGTGTTATGAAATATCTATTATGCACTTTATGAGATATTATTGCATGCTAGAGACAGGCTAGGTATTTCATTTCTTAGGACTAGAATGGCCTGATTTGTGATGCCTTAGCCTAGGATTTGTTGTCATATGTGCGTTATGCTTTTGAATATGTGATGAGCGAGAATATCCAGTTAGGACGCACGAGGGGTAGAGCTACAGAGTTCAGGGGGGTACTTCCGAGGATGAGACGAGAAGGTGGAGCTATCACAGATAGGGAGTCCTATGTATTCTTCGATGCTCGAATGCTGCTTGTTTTGTGCTTTGTGGAATTCTCGATGATGGGAGTCAGCTACTACGTGAGTATGACGATACTCAGGAGGTAGATGGTTGGCATCATTAGGAGCTCTTCAGCAGCTGATAGCAAAGAAGTGGGAGGACGGCGGAAGGGACTAAGGAGTAAACCTAGCCAGATGAGTGCGCTGGTAGAGTAGAGGATTTCGCTGGGGAGCGAGTACGCACGATGGATTGGTAAAAGAGGAGGTCGATCAGCTACTTAGGAACTCTGGGATGGCCGTGTGGAAAGTATGGGTAGATGTGGAAGGTAGTATGGGTCCGTACTACTGAAAGCAGAGGACCCATACTTGATACAAGGAGCATTCTGAAGGTCCTAAGGAACGGAATGCGGAGTGATGTTATGGTCAGGGTACCATACATCGGAACAGATTGAGGATAGATGCTGTGGTTCGAGTACCATACATCGGAGCGGATTGCGGAGTGAAGTTATGGTCAGGGTACCATACATCGGAACAGCTTGAGGATAGATGTTATGGTTCGAGTATCATACATCGGAGCAGAGTGAGGAGTGATGTTATGGTTCGGGTACCATACACCGGAACAGATTGAGAAGGGACGTCATGGGATGAGTACCAGGGTTCATAGCGGATGATGCTTGTGACTATCTTGCTATCGGGTCATGATCGATGAGGTAGAGATCGGATGCTATGGGTTTTAGGCCTGTAGACCATGATTGAGTATGGGGAGGCGTTCCCCGAGAGGAAAGGCGAGTGCCCATCAGAGTATTTTGGTAAGAAGTTAAAGACAGAGGAAAATTTTTGGTTGAGTCAAACAATCAGGCGATAAGGGAGAGGCCATCTTCTAGGAGGGTGGTGCCATTTATGTTCGTGAGCAATACACGAGGGGCTTGATGTTTCAGTTGTGGATTTGGGAGTACACCCTGCAGGTAGTTATCGACAATGTTTTCCCTCAGAGTATCAGGTAGTAGGTGTGCCGCGAGGCAGTGACTTATCGTGAGCAGACAGTCAGTTGGGACTGAGGTAGTCGAAAACCACACTACACCTAAGTGAGAATCGTAGGATGTGTCATAGTGGTAGCAGCGGAGAGTTCAGTCAAGTTTTGCAGTGCAGAGCGTTTTCATCTATGTTGAGAGTGGGTCCCTGTCCTTGGGACAATTTCGATGTTGGAACATTGGTTGATGAGCTGAGGTGAGAGGAATGATAATTGCGGTGCAGTCTATGAGCCAGGGATGTTATTGAGCAGTTGAGATGCTTAGTGTTGGATTGGTATGAGATTTGGAACGATTAGAAGCAGTTGTGATGAGAAGTTCTTTAGGAGTTCATCAGAGGTTCAGAGTATAGGGGGTCGATTGACTCCTTAAGGGGGAATTACCGGGCGTTACGTAGCACTTTCCTGGAGCAGGTACGATTTCGCTGGTGAAAAGTAGTTGTGGGTTGGGTGTGTGCTAATTGGTGATGGTTCGAACCCTGAGTGGGGGAGAACCGGGGGCAGTATGTAAGAAAGCAAGGATTTGTCAAGAGTGGTTATAAGTGAAGTATAGGGATATGTTGTAAGGAATCATGAGACCAGAGGTGCCGATGATCGAGGAAACGGGTCAGAGTGAGTTAATGCGGGAAGTACTTGAGGAGGAGAACGAATGTATCTATGATAGGGGTTTGGTGTCGTTACAAGTAGATAGAGAATGTTTGGGTCGGTATGCGCATTCTTGGTTGGATTTTGAGCGTCGGAAGAAGGGTTTCGGAGAATTTTCAGCATATTTCGTAGCGTCAGCGTTTTCTCGTATTCCAATCGGGAAATTATATGCGTCGGAGTTTTAATGTGGGAAAATGTAGATCTATTTATGGGATTCCGAGGAGATGTATTATTGTATCTACATGATACTTGGGGCAGGAGATTAGTGGTCGTGGCAGGATCTTGTGATGTTCGGTTGAGGTATTCTGAGATATCCGGGTATGATATCTTTATTTCGGAGTTACTCATGAATCCTGAATTGAATCGACGTGTGGCATATCAAGTATCTGTGGATCTAGTGGGAGCCCTTCGGGTATGGGTATCCAGGGAGATTATTTTAGGGAGTGGATATTCGCAGAGATGGGCATTTGTTATGTTGATTGTCTCCATAGTCTGTGGTGGATATTCGAGTCGCAGTACTCACTATTCAGAAGATGTTGTGATACCGTGTGGAGTCGCAGTACTCATTAAATGGCAAGAGAATACAATGTTGGAATGTTTTCTGAGCAGTTTATGGTGTGGAAGAGTTTTGGGTTTGAGTAGTCCTATTATTGAGCTTTTGGAGCCTAGATGTTGAGTCGGGGGGGCAAGACGGGGGTATCCGTCCTTGTCGGGAGATGCGGGGAGATACGCGACGAATATGCGCAGCAGAACCCAGAGATTAGAGTTGAGACGATCCTCGGTTGGATTGTATTGCTCGCACGAGGAAAAGAGAATTTTGTGACTTGCGTGTCACTGGGTCGGGATAGTGGTCACGGGGAGAAAGTTAGTGGAATATTTGGGTCATGAGATGGGTGACAGTT